TATATTAACTCAATTGCTTTGCGGAAAAAGTAAAATTACACTGGAAATTAAACTAAAAATTAAAGTTTGTCATTGCACTTCTGTCAATTAAGTGCGACGTAAATATACAATCATATACACTTCTATGCAATGATCTTGATCAGTTAATTTAGTTTTGAGATAACCATTTATTATAATTTTAATTGTTTATGTGGCAATTTTAGTGCAGCACTTTAAGTGCAAGCTAATATCCCCTGCCGGCAAACTTTATTTGCGCTCTTTTACAATGTAGCCAAATGTGTTTAATAAATATTTATGGGATTCACAAGACGTGTTAACCGTCGTTAAATTTTAAGCTAAACTTTTTTTTTTATGAAAAATAATAGTTAAAATGGTTTTAGAGGATTTCTAAAAATAAAAGTATATAATTAGCCGCCTTAAAACCATTTTAACCGTTATTTTACATAAACAATCTTCTCAATGAAAATGATTGATTATCTCACCGAGGTCAACAAGCGGTCAGAAGGACCTTGCAACTTTGCATGTCGGCGTTTTGGGCGCAGTGCTCGCCCATCTGTACAGAAGCAGGCTGCAAGTTGCCAAAGCAACTCCTATGCCCTCCCAGTCCGAGGTTATGGGCTCGAAGGTAGGCACCCTGCGTAGCCAATTCATCAGTCCTGCAAATTGCAGTGATGTCACTGTGACCTGGTACACGAATCTGTTTGATTAGGAAATATTTCGAGGCGGTTGAGAGAGAGCTCAGGATGCCGTTCGATCGTATAATGAGCGATCACAGCGCCCGGATTGCCGCTGGATATCAGAGTATAAATTTAATAACAGACTTATGATTATTTTTTGATGTCTCTTTTAGTTTACCTCAGCTTAACTACTTCATTTTGCTATGAGTGATATCAATTGCAACGCTTCCACGCGCTGTTTAAACACTTCATTTTAAATTCATTTTATTTGTAATGAAATAAGCGCCGGAGGAGGAGCAAAGTAAGGAAAAAGCGCAAAAAAAAAACAAACGAAAATATTAAAATAAATAAAATTCGTTGGCAAATTAGTAAATTCGTAANATACATATCGAGCCCTAACCGCCAAAACAACGTAAGCGACATTTTTTTCAAAATTTTCTTTTTGATGCAGAAATATTCCTAGAGCATCTAGATGCATTTCTGCATCAAAAAGAAAATTTTGAAAAAAATGTCGCTTACGTTATTTTGGCGGTTAGGGCTCGATATGTTTGTACAAATATATCTATGTAGTTCGCGTTGGCATGTTTGCACACAAAAATTCAGCACGCTAACGCGCGATGCGACAGCATAGCCCAAAAAAGTAAGTAATCATAAAGTGAAATTACAACTTGTACTTAGTAAAAATTATATAAATTCCACAATTAAAAACGCAAAAGCGAAAAGCGAAAAGGGAAAGGCGGGCGTGCGATCGCTGCTAGTCGCGATTATGTCATGGATGCGCATTCGACGAAATGCATTTGCGCAAAAATCGTTCTGCCTCGCTCTGCGACTCGCTAATGCTGCCTACTAATTCCGTAACTGGTAGCAGATAAACTAATACATACTTAACATAGGTATAGTATGTGCGCTTTTCACTTACCCCGTAAACCATGGCCCACGTGGTCCATATAAAAATCGTTTTGCTGTCTTCCAACGCTTTTTAATATGACTATTTGTGGTTTTTTGCGCTAGCGCAGCAGCATTCAGGCGTGTCAGCTCCTCAACTTGTCGCACTTTCCACGGCATTACAATTTTTTGCTGCAATTAGTAATTTTAAGTAATTTATTTATTTTTCAAATTTATTAATCGTTTACTCACATTGAATATTCGCCGATTATCAGCTTGATAAGTGCCGCGCCGCTTAGAGGCTGCCTTGCAGGCTTCATAACATTCAGCCCAATAACGATTGATGGGCTCCCAAAGGTTGAGTTCGATTTCGCGTTGATACACATCATGTAAGGGTTTGACCTGCAAAAATATGTATTTTGATAAAAAAAAAAGTAGTTTAAAACATTTCGTCTATTTTTATGTGTAGTATATGTATGTACAGTGCCGCTCAAAAAAACTGGATGAATGGTGTTTTGTTTTTAATATTTATAGTGCTTTACAATCTAAATTTTGTATGCTATCTTTTTATAAAAATATGGTTAATGCCTTAGCCAAAACCGCATAACTGAAACTTTTAAACTTTATAAAGAGTTTAGAAAAAATTTAACAAATTTCCATAAAAACTTTGAGCTTTTTAAACAGAATTTTTAAGAAATTCTTAGTTTACAAGGCTTATGGAATAAAAGTAATAATAAAATAAGTGCAAGTTTTTAGCGACAAAGAAATTGCACTTAATTTTAATATTTTTATTTATTTTTTTGTTGACGGAGTTTTTCACTATTTTCCACAAAAAATTAGAATTTCTTGTGCAAGAAAATGCGCAAGACAGCGAAAAAAGTTAAAAGCAGAAACGCCAGTTTTTATAAATTGCACTTGTTATATAAAAAAAAAACCCAAAAGCCGTCAACAAAAAAAAAAA